CATCTTGTGTAATCTTAGACTTTTTGCTACTTTTTTGTTTCCTATACTATTGAAGAAAAAAAGTAGCATTAAAATAAAGCATGCAATTAATGTAGTTAATAGTGGTTCTCTTGGTATAAAAAATGGGTTAATTATTATTGGAAACCAAATGATTAAAGGAAATGATCAAACCAAAGAAAAGGAAGACGAGATGGATGTGCTGATTCCATTTAAAACAAAAAAAAAACTTTGAAAATTCAAAAGCAAATAAAGCATGCTTAGCTATAAATTACCATACATACCATACGTGTTATTAGAAAACTAATTCCCAATTCAAACGCGTTGGCCAAATTTCCTTGGGGTCACAACATCATCATCATCATCATCATCATCACAGCTCAATTTTGAATGACTTTTATTGTGTTAGACTTTAGCTGCTTCTGTTCCAGCCCTAATTTACGTGTCATATAACTATAATTTACATATAATCTAAATAATTTATCAAATTAAGTGGATTGATATAATTATATTGTATATTTTTTAATTCCTTATTATTATTATTTTTTGAACAAATTTGTAAGGGATCAGATTCGAACCATTGGCCTGGAGGTGGGAGAATACACTTATACGTGACCTGACGTCACTGGACCCAAAAACGCAAGTGCTTGAATTCCTTATTATTAACATGTCATTATACTTTAATACACATGCATTAATTCAATATGGACACTAACCTTTTTCTTTAACCAAATGTTGTTTAAGATAACAAAAAAGTATGTTTTAAAGTTAGATTGCATAATAAGCGTACAATCTGAATTATGAATATATTAAAATATTTTTAATGAAATTTTTTTATGTGTTTTTGTTAATAATATTTTAATAATTTCAATATTTAAAATATATTTTCAATATATAGGGTAACTTAAAAAACATAAACCTTTTAAAATATTAGTAAACGGTCAACTATCATAATCAACAATATATAAAGATGATTTTTGTGAAGAATTATATATGAGAGATTGTCTTCTGCCCAAACGAAGATCGAAAAGAGGTGGTTAAATTAAGTATTTTAAAAGTACTTATACGTGCCATGTAGGTTAATTAATTTTTGTCGGTTGTTCGAAGTCAATCATGATTAATTAAATTCTACTACTAGGTAAGTTGTCACGTTTCCTCAAAAGTTAATGGTAGTTGTTTCCCCAAGAATCACAAGATCCAATTTATTAAATGCTCACACCTATCTCTACGCAAACAAAAATGGTTGCACTATTTACCCTCCAATTACATTTCTTGTAACCAAAAATTAATTCAAGGATTGAAGATAGGGCTTTTATGGGTAAAAGTTGAAATGATTGACCTAGTTGTTGAAAGGTCAAATCCCCAAATTCATCCTCTAAATAAGAGAAAAGAGACATTTTTACCCATAAAAAAGTATAAATAAATTACCTCTTCAAATTATCAATTATTTAACATATGACATTTAGATGGTAAATGGATGCCTAATTTGTTATGATGTCATATGTTAAATAATATGTAATTTACTTTAATCAATAATTTAAAAGAATAATTTATCTCTATTTTCTTTTAAGAAGTTGATTTATTCTTAGCTCTTTATTTGAAAAGTGAATTTGAAGATTCATTAGTTAAAATTTCCTACAAACTTTTTTTTTTTTAGGTACATCTTACAAACCTTTTTTCACACCTCAAAATGTAAATTTATAATTCTTAATTAATTTAAATTAAATTTTTATATATTTATTAATTTTAATTAATTTTTTAAATATATATTTTTAAATAGTAAAAAGACAAAAAAAAAAAAAAAACGTGTTGTTATAGCATAACGTAGCATAGCCAAATCAAGCCTTAATCTTATTGATTATACTTTCTTTTGTCAATGTTATACTATATTCTAATTGTATTTACAATGTTTTTTTATTATATTAAAAATATATAATATTAATTAAAATTAATAAATATATATTAATTAACAATTACAAAAACAAAATTTATATTTTTAAATAAAGTATTATACAAAATGGTATCCAACCAACTCCTTGTCAATCAAACAATAATTAAAAAAACTACATAAGTTTAATAGACGGGTTCCAATGTTGCCTCTCTTTTTTCTTTTTGAACTCAACCAAAATCATATAATGGAATCAATGTCATACATCATCTATATAATAAATGTTTATCTCATTGATAAGAACTAATAATAAAACAAAGAAAGCACAACTAGAGACAAAAAAAAAAAAAAGAGAGAGAAGATCAAGTTCAATAAGAGACAAATATAAAGAAAAATAATGAACAAATCACACGAATAATCTCTAAGAAAATTATTTTTTATAAATTCTTTCGATCGAATATTTTAAAAAACTGGACACCTTTCAATTTACTCTTAAAACACATAAGCTTGCTATCTAAAATGTCATGGCTAAAAAATCAAAGCAAGCAATGACTAACTCTTAATTTTTTTTATTTTATTGTCTCGTTAGTCATTAAATCTAAACAAAACAAACAAAAGAACCCAGAATATGATGAAAAAAAAATGAAAACCACCAAAAGAGACCACAAAAGAAGTTAATAGACCACTTAAAATAGTCAACAGACACAGGAGTACGAAAGGTCGACTCCACTATGCTCGATAAGCCAAAGGGCTTCCAAGCGCCAAAAAACTCAAGAAGTCGAAGGGCTTCCCAGCAAAAAAAAAAAAAAGCCAGAAGCTTTGGGAAGGTTCTAGCCAAAAGCAGGAGAATTCTAGAATGAAGAGAGAAACGAAAAAGGATTTCTCTGTAAGGTCACAGTTTTGGAAAAGTAATACTTCAATCTTGCCTTTCATTATATATGACTAAAACACTCAAATATAAATAACAAAAAAAAATGCAGTCCATAAGATTTAGAGCAGTCATATGCTCATATTCGGAATTGCATTTTGTCATTCTATGTCGAAACACATATGGGACTCCAGATGTGCAAATTCATTCTATTCGTTCGATCATGTTGGAATTGGGAGTCCAACCTTCGTCTCCTTCTACATCCATGTGCTGCCAAGTGGCCAAATCTTAGGCATTCTCATTCTGAACCGCGGCAGGAAGGCCCCTTCACAACTCACAAGGAAAATAAAAGAAAAAAAAAAAGAAGAAAAAAACAAAAAACAAAAACCATTTTTTGTCGGTGATTATTCAGTTGCATACGAATTCTACATTAACACAGCTGCGCCTGACCTCAGTTCACGCCGCCTCCTGCCCGCTCAATAACATTAAATAATTCAAAGTAAATTCCGTTTGAGTACTTTTCAATACGGAGTACTATTTTTTTAACATTTTCTTCAACCCCCCTAATTTAGCGCTCGTCCGGAGGGGATCTAACATGTGTCAGGCGTGGTCGGGTCCCACAGTGTCCACGTGCCCAATTTACGTTATCAGTCAAACTGGTTTTTTTTTTTTTTTAACAGGGTCA